TACTCGTATACTTTTTGCACTGATGAACAGAAATTGGAGTTTATGAAGTTCACCATTTATATTAACCAACAATTAGATTTCAACTTTATTTTCTCTAATACAAAAAATATAAGAGGCTACAACTATTAGTACGAGACTATATTTAAAGTACATATAGTTGTAATTATAGGAACATGAATCAATTTACTCAATGCTAACCTTTCATAAATAAATTTTCTTCACCAGTATTAGGAAGAAAGGTTTTGTTTGACCAGAGTCACGGGAGTCCGCCAAACGCAACTACTCAATGTAAACACTGCGGTTATTTGGTCACGCTCTCTGCTGAGTAATGGAGTGTGTTACTCTGACAGGTCTGCTGGTCTAGATAAGTGTGTTTTTTTCTATATCTGAACGAATTTCCTGGATATTATGGTGTCATACACGTCGTGATAAATATTGAACAACTGAAGAGATTTCCCCGAGACTCGGCAAGGGACGTTGATCACCTAATTTCATACATAAAACTGTTAATAAAGAAGCGATGCACACTGAATGACTTTCTTCCTCTTGAGACAGTGAAAACTGTCAGTTCATATAACGTAAATAACACGTTGTTCTCGCGGTAAGTTCGTGAGGTGTAAGAACATTGAGGCAGCGTCAGTATCTCTCCTGCCATTACAATATTATGTGGTCAGTGATTTACAACGTGAGTGTGGAGCGGCAGGACAGAGAGACAATCCACCGCAGCCCCCACATTACCCTGTGGCTGCACCAGGCAAGTTATCTTCACCACAACTCTCACTATATTCACACACTCACTCAACACACCCAAGGACGTGTTGATCCAACTTTACTGGAAATAATCTTTCTTTAATTTTTAAGATCCTTATCTCCGTAACAGAGTGTATGAATGAGAGTGATATATATATATATATATATATATATATATATATATATATATATATATATATATATATATATATATATATATATATATATATATATATATATATATATATATATATATATATATATATGTTAATATCTGTCTCATGCAATAGAATTGTTTGTAAGCATGGGAGTACGCTGGGGGGAGAGAGGGGGGCAATTGGCTCCTGGATCAGGCTTGTGTCAAAATATATAAACACATACAGAAAATCTGGTTCAAAGCCTTGTTTAGAAGAGCCCAGAACAGTTTCTCCCGGGCTTGAAAACTTAGGACGAATTACTAGACAAATTATCTCCAAGTCGACGTAGAACAACAATACACACGATGGTCCGAGGCAGCAGAGTGGAGTAGGAAATGTTGCGGGAAATATTACTGTTGAATTTTAGTGTACTGGGAGGCAGGAGTCATCCCAATCCTTTAGTGGCTGAAGGATGTTGACTGTGTAGAGGGGGGGCGCTCTTCATCCACCAGTAATTCGTATCCTTCACTTTCTCGTTGTGTGTAAAGGGACGATGCCCTCAGTTCTGTGACGTAGACTCAGATGTGTGCGTGTGTGTGTGTACTAAGTAAATACCAGCCAGTATCAAGGGTTGGCGGAGGTCAACACAGCCACACTCGGACCGCCTCACCGTAACACTGAGGTAGCCAAACACTTCCTCGGTCCTGGTCGGGTCATCACAAACAGTTGTGTAAATTTAACAACAATCTAAAAAGGAATCTTCAAAAATGTTTTCTTCTCTTCGCGAAAAAGAACGTCAACGGGAGAACTATCAATTGAGCCATATTTATTGTTTTCGTTTTTTCTCAAGTATGAAGGGTTAGGATGTACAGTCGCATGCCACAATGGTTGCCACGTAATATAAAAGACGTTTCCTGCCGTTTGTCATTTACATGTCTCATGTGAATATAATTAATATGGTTATTTTAACGGGGTGACAGTCTAAAAAGACATTATCCATGTTAGACACATACAGTAAACAATATGTGTTTGGTAATGCTTAAATGTTTCTCTGCGCAACAACAACAATTAAATGCATATGTTGACTGTATCCATATGTAGCATTTGGTGTGCAATACATGTATTAGATATCAGAATTTGTTATATTATTAGGTAAGGTAAACAGTAATGGCATCTCACGTTTATTGAATTAGTATTTGGTGTAACCACCTCCCGCGTCCAGAACACATTGTTTGGGTTCATAGCAACATGGCAACTCTACCCTGTCGTTGATATTGTGTTTCACAGAGGGCATCAAACAGACTATGTATGGTCATTATACTGTTTTTATACAGGTATGGCTATAATGCAATGTTTACAGATTACATGTCAATGGATACTTGTAATTATAAAGATAAACTACCCTGTTTATAAGCAGTTGTGACACTTACGCCTACTCACGCTTACCAACCCTATTGTCTGGGCAACAGTGCCCAGACAATAGGGTTGTATTGCTCGTTTTGACATCCATCGGACCCCACTTTCCAGATGCTTTTTTGAGCGACTGTACACACAACACACAGGTGATAAAAAATAAAGAGATCTCTGCCATGAAGGTGTCTCGCGTCCACCACCGGCTCGACGCAGCAAATATTCGCTTGAAATTGAATAAAACCTTGGCTAGGCGAGGTGGAGGAGGAACGGTGCCTGAGTGTGTTTCTCTACCTCTAACTGTACCCGTGACTGTACCTTTAAAGTCTACCTCACCATCAACAACCATACAAAAGTGAGCTTTTTTGTATACTTGTGTGGTGGTGATGGTGACAGGTGTGGTGATGATGACAGGTGTGGTGGAGGGGGTAGCAGGTGTGGTGGAAGGGGGTACAGGTGTGATTGGGAGGAGGGTGGACAGTTAGGGACAATGAACTCTAGTTGCACACGACAATACTGTCAGCCATCACCTGATGCACGGGCAAGGAACCAGAAGGGGGTGTCCATACAGCAGGCTGGTTGTGTCCTGGGGAGGGAAGGGAAGGGGCGGGGGGGTAGGAGAGGCCATACTCCAGGAAGATGGTGGGGACAACGCCTCTTTTACCGTAAGTGGAGGACAATTAGGTCCCGGCACTAGAGCTACCTGCACCACCACACGCCCCTCCCTCATTTCACGGTGTTGCACCACCAGCGGATATTAGCGTGGGAACGACGCGGGGGGTGTCGGGTAGGACCATGGAGGCTATTATACCTCCCTGGGTAGGACACCTGAGGGCGGCTGTACTGGAGTGAGCGAGGTCGCTGGGAGGCAGGAGAGAGGGAGGGAGGGGTCTTGAGGGGATGTTTCCCGTATAATGGCGGACTTCATAAGTAAATTACGAGTTTTTACTGGCTGTTATAATTATTTTCAGAAAGTATTTATTTATTACTTAAAGTGAACTAGCGGTTTCGTATATTTTTGTTTCTCCGCTTCGACTGTCTCGGAAGGGCAGACAAAAGAAAAGACTTTTCCGACGAAGACGCTAGCAGAGTTTGTAACTGTGTTCAGTGAAGAATCAGGATTTTTTCAGGGGGGCAATGAACGTGATACAGTATTTCTCCAAAATAATTAATAGTTCTATGTTTTTTTCTCTCTGTAGAGCCACACGTAAATGAGAGTATTGCTGATTGGTAGTATTATGGGGACTCTGGTGTAGATAGAGACCCCAGGGTATTATACCCGAGTTCTTGGAGAACTCCCACAAAATGATTAGCAAAGGATAATACCTCCTGCTTAAGTACTGGAGAAGTTGTGTTGTATGTTTTAAAATGACAATTTTATTTTGTGAAAGTAAAAGTGGATCATATAGGCGTGATGGCTGTTAGGGAGAGTTGTGGACACAGGCACACACTTCGTACTAAGCCCAGATTTGGTGCCCAACTTGTAAAATTAGGTCCCTCATTTACAGCCGGGTGAACTGATAGTGGCCCGGGATCGAACTTAGGACCCTTGGGACAGGAGGCGACTGTTGTGACCAATTGTCAACCGCACCCATTTTTAACATTACATTAATATCATTAGGAAATTTCAAAGACAGCATGAACCTTATTGTATCCATTACTCGACTCTTAGTCTGTCGTGAATAACTGTTAGGCGAGGCGTTTTGACTGTGTCATCAGATGGTAAAATCCGGACAGAGATAGTCAGGGACGTCTTGCTACTGGGATTTACTATAGCAAAATACAGTAATTTGCTTGTACCCGATAATGTAGTCATACTTCTGGTACACGACCCGCAGTTTAGTGGTGTTAAATGGAATTGTCTTTTTCTCTAAGTTATACTTGTCCGAATGTCTTCAGAAGTTGCCGCTGGCGTAAATAAAAAAAAAATTGTCAAGAATACTTTTTTTTCTGTACGGTTCCAACTTCTGAATATAATCATACACATTTTGTAGTGAAACAGTTAGTTTTTAAATACACAAGGGAGAAGTATCGCCGCCCACAACAAAACGTATCTACAATTGCATGTGCCCTTTGGGGACGCCAACCCTTTCTTACGTAGCGGGTATTATCAGAAGAGAAAACGGAGCAACTGGCTAAGGGAGAGACTACGCTATTTTAGCCTCTCCTACTTTCATAGCCTTTCCTGAGTTTCCAAATTTGTGTTTTCTAAATACGCAGGTATGAAACACTCCCTGTGTAGAGTGTCACAGTATGCTGAAGCTCTTGCTGTATATGAACGAGTGACCATGTTAGTAGTGAGACTGGTGACCAATATACTCGGAACAAGTTACAGCCGCTAGCTTTTATTTTCGTTTAAGCGTTACCAGTACAGCAACCACATTCCTCAGTTACGTCATTTCTATTTGTTCATCAAGGAAGTCTAATAGCTACGGCTGTAAGATATCCATAAAGTTACTATCTGGTCTAGTGATTATTTACGTGACTTTATGCCCACCACAATACACGACTGCATGACGTTGACAGATGTGTCAATTGTCACACTGAAGTTCATCAAGGACTGAACGCTGTTTACTGTGTTTCTCTCCTCAGTATCTTTGTGGCGGGACCTGTTGATGTATATTATTTTACCTGACTTATTTTCATGTTTCTTCATCATCACTGCGAAGTTTTATGGTGTTATTAAGTAACTATAACTTTCAGATGATGGAGGTGTTGGTGACGGTAGTGCTGGCGGTGTGGTGGTGCGGGCAGACACACGCTGCGGGAGACACCATCATCTACAAGTATGTTGCTCTCTCCTCCTCTCTGACTCTCTTTAACTTAATAACAAAAGACTGTCATTATTTAGATTAGTTATGCACATCGCTCACAATTAGAGCCAAACCTCAGCCAGTTGTGCTTTGAAATACCTATCAAATGTAATAATAATGTCCAGTCCTAACTTACATAAATCACCATAATTTCTTACTTAGGTTTAATCCAATCAATAATTTGGAGTTTCGTTTATTGAAGATACTCGCAGAATTATTAACTTGCCCTCAATTGTTAATATATAAAGTCATTTTTAACCAATATACTTGTGTACCAAAATATTAATCGCATTATGAGAAGCAAGTAACACCAAGTTGTTTTCTCCAGCCCCCCTGCACACGGCGGCCCGCCAGCAGAAGTGCAGAGGATGCTTCATCTCCGCGGCACGCAGACCCAGACCGCTGATACTGGCCACGTCCTCACCACAATCAGCCACGACTCACCACCTCACAGCACCCCGTCCAGGTCTCCTCCACGCCTTCTTATTTCTACTGGGGACCTTCCAGATACCAAGACGACTACCGGTGAATTTTTAGACACTCAGACGTCTGTTAGTAAATTTTTAGAAACCCAGACAACTGCTAGTGAATTATTAGACACCCAAACGTCTACGAGTGAATTAATAGACACTTACACGTCTACTGGTGAACTTTTAGACACCCAGGCGTCTACTGGTGGACGTTTAGACACCCAGACGTCTACTGGTGGACGTTTAGACACCCAGACGTCTACTAGTGAACTATTAGACACCCAGGCGTCTACTAGTGGACGTTTAGACACCCAGGCGTCTACTAGTGGACGTTTAGACTACCAGACGTCTACTAGTGGACGTTTAGACACCCAGGCGTCTACTAGTGGACGTTTAGACACCCAGGCGTCTACGAGTGGACGTTCAGAAACCCAGACGTCTACTAGTGGACGTTCAGACACCCAGACGTCTACTAGTGAACATTTAGACTCCCAGACGTCTACTAGTGGACGCTTAGACTCCCAGACGTCTACTAGTGAACATTTAGACTCCCAGACGTCTACTAGTGAACATTTTGACTCCCAGACGTCTACTAGTGAACTTTTAGACTCCCAGACGTCTACTAGTGAATATTTAGACTCCCAGACGTCTACTAGTGAACATTTAGACTCCCAGACGTCTACTAGTGAACATTTAGACTCCCAGACGTCTACTAGTGAACATTTAGACTCCCAGACGTCTACTAGTGAACTTTTAGACACTCAGATTTCTGCTGGTGAACTCTCAAGTACTGAAGCCTACCCCAGTATCCCGGACATTCTGATGACGACTGGTGACCTCGACGCAAAGGGATCAGATAACACTCCATCATACTTTCAGACAGATCAGCCAGACATTCAGACATCTTCGGATGACCTTCCAGACGATCTTACGACAACCCTTCCTATTTTGACGACAGAAGCGTTCGATCTGTCTACCATTTTTGGGGAAAGTCACAGAGGACTCTCTCACACGACCCTGGCAGTTGAGACAACAACGAGAGGTGAAGTTGACAAGGCCGGGAAGATCGACGAGAGTAAGATAATGCACAACGAAGACAAGACGGTAAAGAAAGAGCGGAAGACGAAACTGAAGGACACTGTGGACCATATGGAAAATACGCTTTACTTCGCCTTTAATGATGACAAGAATAAAAACAGCCAACTGAGAGGCCCACTCGGAAGGTCTGTGGAGGCCCGAGCACCATCTCTGGCTGACTACCCGGTCGAGCACCGCGGAGGCCACAATGACCTGTACCAGTACAACATCCAGGACCACCAGAGAGGCGTGTACCAGTACCACTTCCGGGACCACCAGTCAGGTGTGTAACAGCACCACTCTCCAGAACCACCACTGGCACTTTTTTTCCCAAAACACAAAAACTCCATAGTGTTTACATAATATTCACTTCTCTTAGATACGAGTTGCCTTATATTAATAGAAATTTTTCATTTTTTCTAATGTGATGACGTAAATTTCCTGTTTGTTTTTTCTTTCGAGATACTATCACTCAAACGGCCCTGAGATACTCGAATACTGAGGTGTGTGGAGGAGTAAACCGTATTCACCCACCCTGTGATAGTAGTGGTGTTAGTTACTTGCCTGTAGGAGTATAGAAGATGGTGATCTTTGGCGTGGGAGACGAGAAACAGCCGATACCAGTTTGGCCTTAGAACAGGAATCATTGGTTTATTATTGACTTGACTGCCACTACCTCTGACAGCTCCCACCACACACCTGCTTCACGCCTGATGCAAACTTGTTTATCATCTCCAGATTTAATTTACCCCCCTGTACATGGTTTAGCATTACATGTACTGAAACAGAACAATACATTTTTGCGAATTACCTTGCAGATAGAATTTACGAATGTATTTACGCAATTGTTTTATCATGAATTTGTATTACTTTAGCATATGATGAACAGCCTTAACTGACCAGTAAATGATCAGTAGTTATGACTCACACTTGTATTACTCAGTGTCTCAACATAACATCTTCTCTCACATACACTACACATCTTAGAGCAATGGACAGAAATACTAATTAAGTGAAATCTGTATTAATATGATTCTTTAGTTCTGTCATGTGGCAGCATTGAACAGTTGCTCCTCTTCCTTTTCCTCCTCCTCCTCAGAGAACAAAGGAACGCAGTGCTACATCTAGGGAATACAGGAAAACAAATGAGTAAAAAAAATTTACGTGTGTCCTGATGAGTTAACACCCGGCACCCAGCCTTAGTTCAGTGGCGTTTGTGATGATGAGCCTTAGGTAGTGTACAACATAATGTCCACTTATGTCCTTCTTTCTGACAGGTGTAGGTCAGGTGAGCCCAGGTTAGCTCGGTTAGGTCACATGTAGATTTAGGTGTAAGTGTTGACCCAGCCCAGGTACTCATTGCAGTTCTCTCCAACAGGGTCGTACAAATTCGGGTACAGCGGCAACAATCAGTGGCGTCACGAGGAACGACGTCCTGACGGTGCGGTGCTCGGCCGCTATGGGTGGCACGACGCCGCAGGGAAGCATCACGTCACCCACTACGTCGCCGACGCCTGGGGGTACCGCGTGATCCAGCCCGGTCAGCGGGTGGGTGTTCCTGGACCTTTCTTTGGTGTTGGCCACATGGATGTTGTTCTCTAAGTGCAGTAATACGATCTCCACACTGTTATCAGGACACACTCCCTGCCAGCCTCACCTTCACCTGTGTTTGGTCGTTGTGACTATTTTTAGTTCACAGGAGTTTATTGTAAAGTAATTCAGTTTGGAATTAACGACACATGTTATGTTTTTTATATAGTTATATCAGACATATCACTGTCCACACTCACAATTCATTCCATTATGTTAAAACAATTCCCCCCTGGCATATAGGTGTAGTTTATATTTAAGCGTTGAATACTAGTAACATTTGTTCACTCAATCACACGCGCGCGCGCGCGCGCGTGTGTGTGTGTGTGTGTGTGTGTGTGACATTGTTGTAGTGTACTGAAGGTGTTGGTGTTGGCTGCCTCATACACTATACTAGACGTTGTAAACATTAGGAATACGGTGTCTCGTTACCTTGATCATTACCGTACCGTACATCAGCTATGGGCTTCCGTCTCAAGTCGACTATTTGTTTCATCTGTTATATTCTTATGTGATAAAAAGCTATCAGCTTGTGCTTGTCATCACCAATGTATCGAAATATATCTTTTTCCACACATTCATCTTGGTAACCATCCCGGTTTTTTAATGCTGTTTACATGTATCCCTGCATTGTATTTATAACCTGTAACTTTAAGAGATACAAAATTTTAATTAAAATTGAAGAATTGTTTTAATCTAGTGCAGGAAAACACACATATGGTACCCAAAATTATATTGCTGTAGGTTCAACTTTCGGACACAAGAGTCTGCTATGTTGCTTATCTTGTTCTTGTTGTTTCAGGTAAAGATCCACGTCGTTCCGCCCACCACCACCACCACTCCTACTACCAAGAGTTCTCCCACGCTCACACGCCCATCCAACACTCGTCCGCTGACCACACGCCCACCTTACTTTCGTCCGTCGTCCACACGCCCACCCTACACTCATCCACCGCCCACACGACCACCCTACACTCATCCACCGCCCACACGCCCACCCTACACTCATCCACCGCCCACACGCCCACCCTACACTCATCCACCGCCCACACGACCACCTACACTCATCCACCGCCCACACGCCCACCCTACACTCATCCACCGCCCACACGCCCACCCTACACTCATCCGCCGCCCACACCCCTACTATATTCTCGTCCGTCACCCATCACGCACCTACCTTTTTACACACCTACGTCGCCCACCACGCACCAACCATCCTACACGTTTCCGCCGCCCTCCACGCGCCGACCACCCAGCACATCTCCACCACCCACCACAAGCCGACCACCCTCCACGTCTCTGACGCCCAACTTGCGACGATCACCCAGCACATCTCCGCCATCCTCCACGAGCCGATCACCCTCCACGTCTCTACGCTCAACACGCGCCGACCACCCAGCACGTCTCCGCCACCCTCCACGAGCCGACCACCCTCCACGTCTCTGACGCCCAACACGCGCCGACCACCCAGCACGTCTCCGCCACCTCCACGAGCCCACACCTCCACGTCCTGACGCCCAACATGCGCCGACCACCACATCTCCGCCACCTCCACGAGCCGACCACCCTCCACGTCTCTGACGCCCAACACGCGCCGACCACCCAGCACATCTCCGCCACCCTCCACGAGCCGACCACCCTCCACGTCTCTGACGCCCAACACGCGCCGACCACCCAGCACATCTCCGCCACCCTCCACGAGCCGACCACCCTCCACGTCTCTGACGCTCAACACGCGCCGACCACCCAGCACATCTCCGCCACCCTCCACGAGCCGACCACCCTCCACGTCTCTGACGCCCAACACGCGCCGACCACCCAACACATCTCCACCAACCACCACGAGCCAACCACCCGCCACTCGTCCACCATCAACAAGTACAACTTCTCTTAATTCTTACTTAACGCCTCCGCCTCCCAGGCGATCACCCTCAACACCTGAGTCGCCCAACACACTGCCACCGTCAGCGGAATATTTCCCTGGCAGTGACCCCCTGCTGCAGACATTGCCCTCTGTGGCCACGGGCCGCCCTCCCATTGCCTACCCTCTCCCACAGCAGTCCGTTACTCCACGTCCATTGTCTTGGCTCTTTGTCAACACACCCACCCCATCTCAGTGGTCACGCCCACTGCCCTCAAAAAGGCCTTACAGACCATATACTCAGAACAGACCAATACAGAGCCCATTCCGCCCTGTCAACCGCCCACGCCCTCAGCTGCACCGCCCACCAAAGCCTCTAAAACCCCTTTTATCCTACCTGGATATTCCCAGACCGAAACCTTCACTGCAGTCTGGTGCAGCGGACAACTCTGCCTCTCAGACGCCAACTTCATCGAGTGATGAAGCCTTGAAGATCACATTATCACAAGAGGAAAATGTAAGTGTTGAGGCTGTAGAGGAGAGTACAGCGAACACAGTCCTCGTGAACAAGCCCACAAATAATCCAAGTCGTCCCGTCAACTGGCCACGACCACAACAACTCCGCCCCTTGAATCCGCCACAAGAAGGCTCTAATGAATCTGAAGGATCACTGCAGATATCACAAGCGAGCCTGTCGGCACCACCTGATGACCAGAACTCAGGATCTGACCAATCACAGTTCATAGATAATTTAATGTCTCATCTGCAGAGTGTGTATGGCTACCCCTTCACCAGTTACCTCAACAACAAACCACCACTGCGTCCCGGGCCCCACCTTGGCCAGGGAACATTCCAGACGAACCGACCGCTACGGCAGAAGCCAAGTACTAGCCTGAGCCCCCCACCATTGAGGACTGGTGGTCACTTCGAAGACACTCGGCCTCTATTACCATTGCCGTGGACGAGTAGTGTAATCAAGCTGACAGACCCGTTGCCCTCACCCAGCCAGCCTGTGGTACACACACCCACCCACGATGGCCAGTTGTTGCCGCCACACCGACCCCAGCAGTTGCCTCTGGACTACGCCTTCATGGATGAGGATTACAGTTCACTAGTTGCAGACTCTGGTGAACCAATGAACACAGATGAAAAAGTACATCTTCAACAAACTCTCCATCATATTTTTAATGATCTAAGAAATCCCACTGTTAATAAGGTCATGAATGGTAACTCCAATGAACTTGATTTGCATACCTTAGAAAGTGTCGCATCCGAAGCACATTCCCAGAAAGTTGTGGACAGTTTTCCCCAACGCCATGATGTATCTGACAGACCCCCACCCGGTCAGTACATGGGTACTGTTGCCTGGAAAGTTCCTGTGATAGGGCAAGTGGAGAGCGTGAACAGGTACCAGAGCGCAGGTACTGACCAGGATACCGTCAGTGGCCCGAGCACTGTCCCAAGCCACACCACAGCCATTGGCCAAGACTCTGGCACTCTCCGTGGTGACACTGTCGTCACTTCAACAGTTAAGAGTATATCAGAAGATGAAGGTACTCAAGATACCAGCACAAGTACCAAGGACGCGTCAGCAACGACTTTGATCTCTACAACAGAGCCTCCGTACACTATCTCTTCTTCCACACTGACGACACCAACGTCTACTGAGGCAGTGTGGCCTTACCTCCCCCAGGAGCCCTCCTCACCGCCACAGCCAGTTTCCTCCACCTTACCTCCACCTCCCCCACCACAAAGTTTCTGGAGTGAGCTGCTCAATCACTTATATAACTTGCCCAACTTGGTGCCAGAGACAAGGCGTCCCACCATCGACTGACAACGCGAGTAGATATTGCCTGCAGGGCTGATGGGCAAGTCTGTGATATACAACAGTACCACCGGATAGTCATATGGGCATCATTAGGCTAGTTTATTGATTTACTTACGATAGCATGGGTTGATTTCCTAAACTATTGACAATACAAAAAATGTGAATAAACAATAATTAAGTATTACGAACAAGACTCATACATTCATTGACTGATTAAACAGTGAAAAAAGTGCTCTCTCAACTACCCAAAGCTCTCTTTCTCTCTCACTCATCTTCACAAGACAAATCACCCCGAGCATCTTGTAAGTGTGATACTAGATGGTTTTTAGACTTTCATATAAGTGATAGCGATCGGTCAGCTGATGATTACGATAGCATTAGTGCACACTGTACCTAAATAGATATCAGGAATTATTTGAAGAATTTTTTATGACGGAAATCATTGACTTTTTTATATATAAAGAAGCGATGAAAATGTAAACAATCAAATTTTAGTTAAGGAAGGAGGTAAAGTAACAGTGTGTGTGTGATAGAGAAAGGCGGGCTCATGTCCAGGTCGGGTGAGTGTGAGGACCACTCCTCCACCGCCCCACACTGAACCCTCCATGTACAAATAGAGAGTCCACGTGCATGCGGGTTTAAGGTGGACTGATTAGCCTTGGGTCACCAGGCGGTCCGTCAGTGTCTGTGCCACTGTCAGATTAACTTAGGATAGGATAGTTTAGGTTTTGCCAAGTACCTATAACAAGGTAGGTTAGCTCAGGCTAGGATGGATTAAGTTATATTGGATGACTTAAGCATGTTATGATAGGTTAGATTGCTTTATGCCAGGTAAGCTAGTTAAAGTGGATTAGGACAGGTGAGGGCAGTTTAGGTTCTGTGGAGTGAGTTAGGTAAGGAAGGTTAGGCGTAGTTGGTGTCAGGTGAGGAAGGGCAGTCGTGGGGGACACTGACTGCCTTGTGGTGTAGGTGAACAGTCATTGCACATCACATCCACATGCGGGTGGGTTCTTCCACTTGACAAGCTGTACATCACACTGGGAGCTTGATCTGAGGTGTGTTGTGTAGTAAGGCTGGTGTACCCTGCTTCCCTCATCGTGTGCTTATATCATGAGGTGTGTATCGTACCCCGTGCCTTGTAAACGGTGTACCATAGGTGTATTATCTGCTGTACCGCCTTTATTGTGTACTCTGTTGATTTCTTTTTGCAATAAAACCACTGATTTGTGTACATTAAGTGTATTCATCACCTGCGTGCAACCGGTGTCACTTAGCGTAACATACTGTATACAGTTTATATACAGCAGTGCTTCCGACATGCCCTGTGTCCAGCCTGTGTGTTTCATTTACCCTCATGTGTGATAAGTTGATGGACCTCCACGGTTGGGGGGCAGATGCACTGGAGGTGGTGTTGGAGACAGGTGTTACACTGTGGACTGGAGGTGGTGTTGGAGACAGGTGTTACACTGTGGACTGGAGGTGGTGTTGGATGCAGACCTCAATGGGTTTCTTGTCAGATTATCACCGAGTTCGAGAGGTATATATCCTCCTAAACTTTTAACAGTTGTTGTGTAGTCACTGTAGAATATGATCTGTCTTAGTTTATGTGCTTAATAGTAAAGTGCTGTGGTAACTGAAGCACAGGAATACTTAACAACGTTACTAGAATCAAAATCAGAGCTATATGTACACTCCGCAAAAAAGTTCTCGAACGCTAAGGGTCATTCAGTATGACAAAACGAACGAGAAATCTGAACATTGCTCTCCGAGGAAGTTTTATTGCAAATTAAATTAGTTCTTTTCACCTGTAAATACTGTAAAGACGAACAACATATATTATTAGAAAATATTGAGTCACTTTGCAACCAGGCATACCGACCATTCTGAGATAACACGAGCCATAATTAGTGCTCATTCTGAAATCCTTTGTGCCTAGCTGTTCGAGAACTTTTTGTGGTGAGTGTACAGTACCTCCCAAACACAACTGTTACCTCAAAATTCTCACATTGGCTTTTTAGTTTTGTCCCTGAAGCTTATATGTCTGATTAAGATTGAGCCGATATATATAAACTATTGCTTCTTCCCTTCCCTTTTTTATCTTCCCCATCATTAGTTTCTTAGTTCTTAGTATCAACTTTGTCTTCAGTAATAATATTTACACTTAATTCTCTTTCGACTCAATTTTTTCTTCCTCTCTCCGTTTTCAATCCCCATCGCCTCTCCATCTCTTTATTTGTTTATCGTTCATTATTTAGTCCTCTAATTCTTTACAGAGGTCATGTGTATCCTATCAACAGTTTTACCATCAGTTAGGTCTCGACGGGCCCTTAGAGGGTAATGACCACCGCACAATACCCTCGCTTTAAAACACTCGCGATAACTTGAGTCTTATCCGCGTCACTGTAAACATGTTCTAGTATTTTTAATACGGTCGGAGACGGAGACACGGTGAGTAGTAAACCTTTTCACATATCCGTTGAGACATTGTTACATAACTATTTGACAAATTTCATAACCGAATGACAATCTAAAATAACTGTTGGTGGTATGTCATTCTCCAATTGTTACATTCTCAAACTATATGTAGACTGTCGGTTTATTGTTCACGTCTGTCAACTTCATAACTTATGTCAATCACTTCCGTTAGCATGAAAGAACAGTTATTTTAGACTGCCATTTGATATGTGTTCTGTCATTCGGATATGAAATTTGTCAAATAGTTATGTAACAATGTCTCAACGGATATGTGAAAAGGTGTATTACGACCCGAGCACAGATATGACGTAAGTACGCGGACATGGAGATACGTTGGTCCACACTATACGGTAAATACTGTGAATTATTCAGTGATATATTTATAAGGGTATGAGAGCAAGTTGGTGCTTATGCATATCCAACCACTTGCTGCTAGAAGTAGTAAATCCTGATTATTCTTATACTTTACGAGGGCTAAACTTGTTGTGATTAATATTATCCGCTTATAAAAAAAATGTATCAAAATTCACCTGGACTAGTGAGCTAATGGTGTTTTAGTTTCTCTTGGGGATTCTTTGACACATTTTAGTGCAAGTAGAAACAAATTTTGCAGATTATTTTATTTTATTTATTTTTTGTTGCTCTTGATATTTGATGAAAATGTTCTGTGCAGTTTCAACTGGATCACAGCAATATAATTGATCAAAGACTTTGGTGGAAATTCTCAATAGTAATAGTTTTATCTCGACTGAATGACATCTCGTGAACTATGAGTGGTGGGGATGTGAACGTTTCTTGGCCAAGAATTTGCTGAGGAACTCTAGGGGTGAGCCACAACGTCCTGTAGCTATTAGTTCCTAAGATAAAATAAGAAAATACATTGCGTTACGTTGATAAATCTCGATAAAAGACAATGGCCGTCCTGATCAGTTATGTAGCATTTAACACTGGATGATAAGACATGAGGTCAGCAATATCCCCTGACTCGTGTATGGATACGTTTGACGAATTTGTTTTACATATATGTCCAGTATTAAATCATTATCGCAGAACCAAAACAATACAATCTTTATACAGTAAATCATCCAGTCTAGAACCATAAGTATATCATCAACGGTGAAGGAGGATGGGGTTGGGGGTGATTAGTTACCCATCCTCCCCGTTTAAAGATCCCTGCGTGCGCGCCTGAGAAACACACCTGAGCCTGGCCGAGACTGTAAACATTGGCGGGGAGCGTCGACCTCCCTCAGGTGACCCTCCTCCTCCTCCCACTACTCTTAACTCACCCTTGAGCTTTGTACACTATACCAGGGTCAAACGTCGCATCATAGTCGCTATGCACATGGAGTCGACGTATCACTCGGTGATTTTTTTTAAGTCAAACTAAGTGACAAAGAGTACAGCTGATATAAATCGTCAGTCTACAATCGAAAGGTGGTTCACAGTTACGAGTAACTTGAGTAATGGCCAGGCGTTATATCCTGGTTATTCCACTTAATCAAGGTGTCACCCTCACGTCTGAGGGTTGGTGACCACGGTATCTGTACTGCAAATCCTGTCGGGTTGCGTACTGTATACCGAGCCTAGATTTTTCTCTCTGGGACCACTGCTTTTAATTTTATCCATCCAGACCAGTCTCTGCTTTCTCCTTCACCTTCCTACCCTTAGTTTTATTCATTAATATCTCTACTGTAATCCCTTCCATCCCTGATTATACCCGAAGTATATTGTTCTTATTCTATATATTTACATTATTTTTCTCGTTGCTCGGTATAACCCGCTATGAAAAGAAAAAGGGTATAACATCTCAATTTCTACACAATATAAGACGTGGGGGATCGTTGGTAGATGCGGTACCGTTCTTGCCTCGCAAGCGAGATGTCACGGGTTCGATTCCCGGGCCGGTGGAAGTTGTTTGGACTTACTTCCTTGCCCCCATTAATCCCTGTTCACCTAGCAGTAAAGTAGGTACCTGGTGTAAATTGCGAATTCGTATTCAGGGAAAGTTGTTGGAGCTTCCAATAACTTCATGACATAAAACCACTGACTCTTCAGGCTTCTACGCCCTTAACTCGTGAGACATAAAGGCAAGCATGAACTTAGCATGCTTCCCTGTTGGGCGCTGTAAACGCTTCTGCGCTTCACCTTACACAAGGATGTAGGGGAGTGCCCAATAAAAAAAAAAAAATCCAAGACGTCGTAGCCTCTCTCTGCTGACGTAAACAGTGAAAGATGGTCAGCTAATCACCTTCAGAAAATACGTAAATAAATACAAAATTCTTAATGGAATTCCAATATACATTTCTTATGTTGACAAAAGTAAAATCTACATTCAATGAGACGTTTCTTTTTTTCAATTACGTAAAAACAAATCGTCAAGAATTTCTATAGTTTACCATAGCATTAATAAACTACTGTAGTAAGTTAACCATAGTGTAAAGTAATCCTACACTTCTGTAGTTAACCATAGTGATCCTACACTACTGTAGTTAACCATGGTGATCCTAGACTCCTGTAGTTAACCATGGTGATCCTAGTCTCCTGTAGTTAACCATGGTGATCCTAGACTAACGTAGTTAACCATGGTGATCCTCGACTACTGTAGTTAACCATACTGATCCTACACTACTGTAGTTAACCATGGTGATCCTCGACTACTGTAGTTAACCATAGTGATCCTACACTACTGTAGTTAACCATGGTGATCCTCGACTACTGTAGTTAACCATAGTGATCCTACACTACTGTAGTTAACCATGGTGATCCTCGACTACTGTAGTTAACCATAGTGATCCTACACTACTGTAGTTAACCATGGTGATCATAGTGTTACCTAAATTAAATCATAGTGTTACCTAAATTAAAGTCCGAAAGAATGGCAAGAAACAAAGCAAAATCATAATAGAATAAACAGTATATCATCTTTTGATTCTGTATACTGTATGTGCACAGCATACAGTATTTCAGAACAAAATTGAGTTGTAAAAGTACATCCACACGCTACTAACTTGTGGGTTGTGTTAATACTTTAGAAGTTAGTTACAGACCCCGAGTGAATTAATTCACTTGGTGTATCTACGAACACCCTCAAGTCACATGTTTCGTTTGAATAATTGAATCACGTTTGTTGCTGAAGTCTACCGAGCTTTTAGGGATATCGTTGCCTCTGCTAAGTTTTAAAGAAATCCATTATCCTCTTCAAGGGCTGTCGTGTATACGGGGATAATATTACTATTTTGTATATGTTATTCACCAACGTTACCCATTCACACGTCCCTCAGAAAATTGTATATGCAAAATTGCGATTTTTTTTAAATGATAATAATATTTTCAACATCACAATTTTAAAACGAATTATTTTTGCTCTTTTAAAAATCAAAATGGTACCAAATGTCAGCTTTTTCTGACTACGGTATCCTGACAATAAGGTATATAGCTTTTACCTAATGAAGTAAAGGATTATAAAGCGGGGATTGTAGGAAACCACAGCCAGCCGCCCTTAATTTAACAACGACGTAACTGACTCGTGTGCCTTTATTTACCACAACTGTAAATGGTCAAGTGTGATGAACGAGAATTCTTTTGTTGCCCGCTACAGTGTCCATTAACTAGTTTTGGTGCGTGTTACAAACTTTACCGCTGTTTGTCATAATTTATGGAAGGTGAGAGTTACTCATTGTTTGGGTGTGTCGTCGTTCAGAGGTGTGGGCGGGCGAAGATGAATGGATGGCACAAGTCGCGGTAGGTTGATGGATAAAGGCAGGCTGTACTGGGGGTGAACGTCTCCCTGGCCGCCACGCGTGACACTCCAGCTTCCGCCTTGTGCTCACCAAAGTTTATCTATATCCAGACCTTGGTGCTCACTTCTTATACATTAATGTGATTATCCTCCACGTACACCACCTCTCAAGCAAGCACGTACAGTGCTCGCGCACGCATGCACTTGAAGTACGTATCGACTGATGCGGTCCCTCTTGACAAAAGCTGATGTGTCCTTACACACACACACACACACACACACACACACATCCCTCGCTCCTCCATATTCCTTGCCACCCATCCAGTTTTCATACCATGAGGGCCTTAAACAACGGCACGGTGCTGACCCCACCCACCAGTTTCCCACAGATTTCTCACACAAGTTAGATCTAAGATGCGCTTACAACCATTTATATTACCCAATAGCCAAAATAAACCCTGACCAGTCTGTATATAGCAATTGTATTAGTTGGCGTTTTAAACCCAAAAGGCATTCCAGCGGAGGCTCATTGGGATTTCCACTGTTTTTTTTTCTTTTCTTAAAATTCACTGATTTGGGCAGTGCCAAGTTGAACTGTAACTTGGCGCTGTCATGTTGCTTGGAGACTGGAGAGTTCCTGATGCCTCAGTGACAGTGGTGAGTGTTGTCCCTGGCTGTAGTTTTCAGTGTAGCGATGACTACTGCTACACAACCCTTCCCACCTTCCTGTTCCCCAGCTACTGTATTTAGGTTTACCTAAAGCGTGTCTCTGTTATCCCGCCAGTGCGTTATTTAATTATCCATTAGTAGTGAATTCCCATGGTTCAACCCTCAGAAACCAGTAACCAGCGAGTGATCTTTTGATACATAAATTAAGTCAGTAACAAAGGGACTGGGCCCTCAGGCTCGGATGTGGAGACGAAACTTACGTTACGTACTACATGACGGCCCTGTAGCCTGGAGGTCACACTCGCTGCCTCCACAACATTCATTGTTATTTTATTCTATGAGTTCACGACTTTTCCCCCCGATAAGTTACTGCTGACAGTGTTTTGTGCTGTTAACCTGATACTGTAACCTACAGTGGCGCAGTCATCAGACAATTCCAGACATTTACTTGCTAGCGAGATGTTTATAACCTTCAAGCACGTCGCATCTTGCTCCTCTGCAGTATAAACTGAACAACTATAAACATCCAAGTCTCTCTTGGTAGCCTTGGAAGCTTTTCTTTGGGCACTCAGTCACCAAGCAGAAATAAAGTACACCAGATGCAGTTATAACACAGCACCTTCAATGGGTCTTTAGATCTTCACATTAATTCAACTATTGTAGTGTATAATGAAGGTTAAATTTTATCCCAAATTGATCTTGATCTGAGAATATCACCTGATGATTCAGACATTTATACTTATATCCTGGAGCTCACTAGGGACTCCTTACGATGTTACACTGTTGTTTTACGATTATATAAGAGAAGTTCTAATTAGACGTCCGATGATGTCAACGGAAATAATTTACCTAAACTGAGTAAATTAACAGTGGGGAATTTACGAGCTAAGACACCGCTCCTATTACCACAACAGCTAATACTTAGGAGGTTATATTCCGACATCTAAATCTTGAATAATGTTTTAAGACAAATATGCACTGTTTTTTACTTAGTCTTTATTATTTATTTATTTGAACTTTAATTTTCTAATTATGTTTTTTTCTTCATTATTTTTTATTCCTTTTCTTTTTCATTAACTCTAAACCTTATTCACATTTATTTACGTGTATTCTCTTAGCTCGGTCATTTGTTGCTGGGGAACTCATTACTGTCATTATATTAATTAGGGGAATATTTAAAGAGATATCTACGTTTTTTAATTTATTCAAGCAAAGGATATGATATGAGGTTACAGTACAGTACAGTATATGTATTATCCCTATTTCTAACTACATAGTAGATACCGTGTTAAGCACCGCCAGGGGGGAGGAGCTGTTATGCTGAAATTTTCCAGGCACTTGCTGGAGGGGCAGGTGGAGTCACTACTATGATGGAGGCCACTCATTACTAGGCTGTCGGACACCACTAGTATTACAGTACAGTACATCAACAGAACATCATTTCCCTCACCTCACAAATTTATACTACTACTATTACTACTACTACTACTACTAATAATAATAATAAATACAAAACATTGACAAGTTAATATATGAATCAGGATGACCCTACTATCAACCAATTCAGTGAATGAAAACAGGTTAACATTATGTTTGCTTGTAAAAAGTCAGTTAGTTACTTTTACAATATTGTGTAATATTTGTGTCACCTTCCAAAATGCAACCCTTGAAGCATTCTCTCTCTACAACAGTCATTATGCAACAATGACTAATACTGTAAGTGTCTTCTGCAGGTTCAATGATTGCCACCAGCACACTGCTCCCCTACTCACACACACACACACATACGAACTACCCTACAACAGTTTCCTAGTGTATCTGTATCATAACCACAAAATAATTATTTCTATAGTAATTCAACTCAAAATGAAATAAATAAGCGATCAATTTCCCTTATCTTCGACTATCAAAAGTGTGTTCTGATAATTAATGAAAGGAATGGATGAATAAAAGGTAAAAGAAGTGAGAAACTTTGGGTGTTGCTGGAGAGAGTGATGTCAGACGCCGTGAAGCAAGGCCGTTATTATGTTGTTGGAAGTCCCGCCTTCATGTGTCCTGCGCAGGCGCACCACTACCACCTGCACTCCCTCCTTCAGTCAGCTAGATCCCCAAGCTGGTCTTGCACCGTGCACTTGAAGTTCAGTCCACTCACGTTCACAGAAGATATCTATATCTTTCTACAACAATATTCTGTTGGTTTATTGCATATTTATTAAGGTCTCCAGGAGATAATTTGATCGAATTCACACACTATGTTGGATGTGTGGCTCAAGTAATGGGCCATCGTTAAAGTGGTGATCTGAAAATCACTCCATCCCGGATTGACGTCGTGGAATTCCTCCATCCTCAATTATATGCGATAGATATACAGACGTTTGTGGAGTGCTGGGAGTTCATCTGTCACACCTTGAGGAACGCCGCTCGACATGTTGCAGAAAGTGGCATTGCTGTTGTTACTCGCTCAGGTGAGGCTGTGAGGGGCTACCCTGACTCCAGTGTCCTTCCAGGGCCGAATTCATGACAAAAGGGGCCATGAGCTCATTTTAGGGGCCCCTTTTGGTACTTTTATCCCAACGTATCCAAAAGGGCATCACAATCCTAAATTTGATAAAGTTTTAATCTTTCCTGCCTGAGATTCGTGCCCTGCCTCCCTCCTTATGACCAGATGAGGTGTATCTCTATGTATCACACACACATACACATACATGCATACACATACACACACAAATACATACACACACACACACACACACTCACACACACACACACATACACACACACACACACACACACATACACACACACACACATACACACACACACACACACACACACATACACACACACAGGCTGCTTTCGATGAGTTAATGATCGAGGTACCAGGTGAAGAACAGTAGAGGACTTGGACAAAACTGTTGCTCTCTTCTCCATTGTTCTTACGTGTTGTGTTATGTTCATCTCAGTTCTTACAATTAATGTGACCATATTTATCTCTCTTCTTAAATGTTCGTCGTGTTTTTAATGTTCTATTGTTCTGTTAACTTTGCTTTTCCTCAGATAACCTTCAGTGTCCTTGTTTCGTTATTCTCTTATATGATACTCTTATTGTTTGTTCTTTTTTATGTGATACTGTTATTGTGATTGTTATTTTGTGATAAAACAATCATAATGCTGAGGTTTCTCCCACATCTCTTACAGATCTAGGTGAGTTTTCCCGGCCCGTGAGTTACCTCCGTCACACTTATGCCCATCACCTTTGTTTTCTCTCTTATTTTTACTCGGTGTAAACTACATGTTTTCTAGCCACTCTTATCATGAATCTCACATATACTGTACATAAGTTCGGTACGTCCTTCTCTAATCTTTTTTATTGTGGCATGAGTCGTAAAAATTTCATGAAAATTGTGTGTAGTTATGACAATGTTTGCAAGTGCATAATACCAGACGTGATGAAACCTAACCAAACGGTTTATATTATTATTATTTCGTAATTATTAAATTAATAAATCATGTTAGAATGTGGATTGAAGACATGGATCTCTAAGGTAGGAATAAATAATGCTCTTGTTGTGGAATGAAATGTATTAAACTTGCAAATTATTATAACTTTAAGTATGAAATCTACTGACCTTGTCACTCGGTAATATCGTTCGAGTAGGGATGTGAAATTTTGACCCTAATTCTGAGGTGCATTCCGAGACAATACCTCAGCCGAGACAAGTGAGCCTTGAGTTATACGTGGCAGGGGATGAAGACCGTGAGGTTAGCTCCTCCACCTTCAACCCCTCCCGAGAAGCTGAACCTCCCGTCCTGAAGAGGTTCCTTACTCGTTATTGTATAGATGGGATAACGAAGATCGTCCGCCAGCCGAGTGGTAGCCTTGTGGTTACCTTCGGTGAATGGAGGCAGGCCAAACAACTGATGGATGCTTTATACATCAACAATGTACCACTTTAGGTGACCGCTAAACTTTGTGACAACGCAGTGTGGGGGTCATCTCCTACACCGAAATTGAACTTCTGGAGCTCGACGAACTACTAAAACTCATTGGGGAAAGCTCAGTCCAGAGGAAGCTGTCGGGACCCGACGGGGAAGTCACCTCCTTTTACCGTTTACCCAGCTTCCACCACTGGTTACCAGCGGCTAGGGTCGTATGTACAAAAGCAGTAGATAGCATCCGATCGCATTTAGAGAAAAGCAAATTAATCTACGACTCTCAACATGGGTTTACAAAGGGAAAATCTTTTCTAACAAATCTGCTGACGTTTTTTAGGAAAGTCTTCGAGGTAGTAGATAATGACGAAAATTACGATGTTATTTACTTAGACTTTAGCAAAGCATTTGACAGAGTACCGCATCAGAGGCTTCTGAGAAAAGTTAAGGCTCATGGTATCGAGGAGAAAGTTTTAAATTGGATACAATCATGGCTCACCGATAGAACGCAGAGGGTCAGCGTAGATGGTGTTAAATCTGAGTGGGGCTGTGTAACCAGTGGGGTTCCCCAGGGGTCAGTACTAGGCCCACTCTTGTTCATAATCTACATAAACGATCTAGATTCTGGGATCAGCAGTGACATAAGCAAGTTTGTGGATAACACCAAAATAGGGCGGCAGATTAATTCAGGGCAGGATGCAAATGCACTACAGGAGGATCTAAATAAACTGCGGGGGTGGTCTGAAAAATGGCAAATGAAATTCGACGCCAGCTAGTGCAGCGTACTTAATATTGGAAGAACAAATACTGTCAATGTATACAGCCTTAACAACATCAACCTAGAGAAGTCGCTCTTGCGAAAGAGACCTAGGGGTACTTGTAAGCCCGGACCTACAGCCTAGAAAACAGTGCGTTAATGTTCGAAATAAGGCAAACAGAGTATTAGGTTTTATATCTAGAAGAGTAAGTAATAAGAGTGCAGAGGTCTTATTGCAACTATATCTTGCGCTAGTCAGGCCGCACCTCGATTATGCGGTTCAGTTCTGGTGCCCTTATTATAGAATGGATATCAATTTACTAGAATCGGTGCAGCGAAGAATGACGAAAATGATTCCGGGACTTAGAAACCTTCCATATCAGGATAGGTTAAAGAAACTAAACTTGCATTCCCTAGAAAGACGAAGAGTGCGGGGAGATATGATAGAAGTATTTAAGTGGGTGAAAGGAATCAACAAAGGGGATATAGATATAGTTCTTATAATATCCGAGCAGGATAGAACTAGGAGCAACGGATTTAAGTTGGATAAGTTTAGGTTTAGGAGGGAGATAGGAAGGAACTGGTTCACAAATAGGGTGGTGGACGAGTGGAACAAGCTTAACAACTTTGTAGTAAATGCTGGAACGTTGGAAAGTTTCAAAAGGAGGCTGGATAGGTTCATGGATGATAGAGAGTGGTAGTAACTCTCGACAGGAGCTGCCATGCACGGGCCAACCGGCCTATTGCAGATTTCTTATTTTCTTATGTTCTTATGTTATTTCACAAGTGTTGTCGAATTACCACTGGCTGTCCCGTCAGTCTCAGGTAATTCCCCGACGATCGGTATCAGTGTACAGACAAACAACAGGCAGGTAGATTTCCACCAGGTCACAGAAACACACTTGTGCACTGTAGTCTTCTTTAATAAACACTAATTCTACACAACACTGTTAATGGGTAATACCTTCACAGCTTGACTCCACACTTCGAATATATAATCAGCTCACTACCAGCGTACACTTCCTTAGTCTTCTCACTTTATATTAATCACAACAATTCCACAATACTTGCACAACAATTGTCTTCAGATGTTGTTATGAACAGAAGCAATCGACTAACTGAAGGCCGCTCGCGGCCGCTTATATATGGTTCGCAGTGCCGGATTTAGACCTGTGGAGGCCCATGGGCAGCCTCTTTGTGGAGGCCCCCTCATTATAACTACCCAAGAGGGTGGGGTGGCGAGTGAAGCGAGCCTAAACATCTGGGAGTTCCGGGGGGCGCTGTAAGCCCCCCGGGAAAATTGTGAAATTTGAACACTTCTTTGGAGAATTTTGAAGCCATATGCAGTTTTATTGAGGAAATTAGAACATTGAGAAATTTTTAATTAACTGTATATAAATTGATAGTGCACAAATTCCCATGAATTTTAAAGAATGAAAATAAAAATAATCCAAATGAATAAACAAATAAATAAAATATTGTAATATGTGGAGGCCCCCAGATTGTGGAGGCCCCTGGGCCGCTGCCCACTTTGCCCACTCCTGAATCCGGCCCTGATGGTTCGTCAGATTCCAAGAGCATTCTAGTGATGTCCAGACGCTGGAGGTCGGCTCGAAACCCGCCTAGAGAATTCTAGAATGATCAGGGTTTATAATAAGATGTAAATCATAAAAAAAAGTTGGGTAATACATTTTAGAATATTCTTACATAATTAATACATAAATATATAAACGGACATTTCACTAAATTTGCCAAAATAACGGCTGCATTGGACAGAAAACAATAAAAAACACCGAGTTTACAAAATTATACTACGAAATTATGCCTCGGCATAACAATATTAACAGCAACATATGTTTGTGGTGGACAGGTTGTGCGTGTGATGGATGGCGCACCACTGGGGCTGCTGGCAAGTGAAGGGGACGTGGCCACTTCCTACCTTATCTCCGGCCTCACAGTACCTCATCACAACTATCTTCACCTCAACCACCTCAACCGGTGTGTCTTACCTCCCTTGACTCACCGACTGCCTACACCATGATCTTATTATATATTTTTAATTATACTTGTAATTACTATATTTAACTGCCAATTATATTACTGTTAAGAAGACTATACAGTACATTGTCCATGAGATCATTGCTTTATATAATAATCCCAAAAAGAATTTAAGTTGTTCTGGAATATGTGTATAGTTTTAGCACAGTTTGCCACCTCACCTGTGCGCTTGACTATCGCTCATATTTTCCCTATCTTCCCGACAGAGAACCTGAGCGTTCGAGTGTGTTGCGGGTCGTGCGTCCTGTCCTGCTAAAACACCCACTACCACCCCCTGACCCGCGCCTTCCACCCCGTGCTCACCCGTACTCGCTCCTCTACTTGCACTTCGTGCCCGTACACCAACTGGCGTAGCAGCAGTAGCCTCCTGGTCACATGACACAGCCAAACGTTGCTTACCCACCATTGACGACGACAGCACTTTATTTCCATCTCAGTGGGCAGATACTCTGTAAGACATAGGCCTAACCACAGAAATAAAGAAACCCCTCGATATTATATCCTGAGTTCACTCCCTGGCTCGGGACAGATGTGAGAAGGGTGTTATCCAGTGTAACCCAACCAAACATTGTAGGTTACCTCCGGGCATTCTGGTTTCCTCCTGTACAAGTCATGACAAAGTAACAGAGAATAGACCAACCGACAGAACGGCTAGTAAGTTGATATGTGGTGAAATGATTAATTAATCAGTGTTGTGTGACGGAGCAGACCGTATCCACCCTACCAGTTCACTAGCTCCAGGAGAACCATTAATGTCGCTGTAGAATAGAAAGGATACATGTGCGTTTTGAGAACGTTGTCTTTTTAACAAAATATTTTGGGCACACTTACTTACCATACCTCATCCAACTCGCCACGTGTCATCTTACTGCCAGACATGTTTGGCGGTCCTCCTTTTATTTAATAAATACAGGAGATTTGAAACTTTAAAGACAAACTTATTTATATTTATGTGCTACGTTTGTACTTGCTGAATTGTTACGTAAATCTTAATAAAGCTTAATATTTTGACCCACATGTGTGGTGGGTGATGTGAGCTAAGTGGAGGTGAGACTGCTTTTTTTTTTTTACGGGGATTTGCCCACCAGGGCACAGGTCATCTTCAACAATATAGGAAAACTAAGCAGTGCTGTAAACGCTCAGACGCTTTTGTTGAGTTGTATCAGTGTGACGAAAAGGGCATCTCTCCTACAGGGTAATCTAGCAGTCTAGCTGGATAGGATTTATTACTCGACCATATTGTTATTATAAATGTTAACAATTATCTCATGAGGTCCTCTTGTACAGAATCCTTGGTTTGGCGCAATTTGGGCGCAATTGACTAAAGAAAAATTGTGAGTCGTTTGGAAATGATAATAATAGTAATAATAAGTCTAATAATAAAATAATAATAGAATAATAATTTTATATCAATCAACGCGAAGTGAAATTAAGATAAATACTCAATTATGGAAATTCTACAAGTAAAATTAATTGATACATTAACTTTGAAATCTTAGGATATGTCTTCATAGTAAATCACTTGCCTGAAAGGGTCACGAATGAACAGATTAAATTCGTTCAAATAAGTACCATACTGTAAAATCATTATTTAATTTTCATTCTTTGATAATTTTTTATAACTATTGTGTCCAAAACACGCTTTGTGTTAGGGCGTAGTATGCCACCTCCTTTTACAGTAATACCCGATATTTTTTTTCTTTTATTTAAAATGTTACAATTTACATATATACATAAATATTACATATTAGTATATTTGTCCGTGAAATATTTGGACGATTTTTCTTTTAAAATACACTTGATCATCCATCTATTATAATATACCCTGCTTTTAATACAGGCTATTGTCTCCTTAACATTATAATTTTCCTTCCTACTTAACCACATACAGTAGGCTTAATATAATCTGACATTAGCATGATCAGTGTATTCTTATCCTTATTATTACTACAGTAAATATTTTAAACATTAAAAAATGCATTAGTTATTTGCTATTGACTTTGCAGACTATATCCAGAATAATATTGATTTTGGATGTTATTTCACTTTATTGGGTGCTAATTGAAATCGGTTGTAATAAACAGTCTTCAAGCTGTAGGCTTACGCCCCTGGGGCACAATTGGTTAAATGACAAAATATCACGAATTATACGGAAATTTAATAATTTACGTATTCTTTTATTGGTTCATAGTTCATACCAGTTGCTTGTGTATTGTACACAAGTTGTAAGCAAAAGGAATTATAGTTTTCGGTGTTAACCAGGAGGAAAACGGGTTTGATGTATAATAAAAATATTTGTGAACTGAAGAATGACCGTGATAAATAAACAAGTGGCAAAAACATATATAATACACTGACCATTGAATTGGTTTCCCAAAGTATATGTTTTAAGCTTGCGACCTAACTGTCTGAAATGTTTTGTCCTGCATCTACAAAAACATTGTTATGTTAACGGTATTTTCTGAAGGGCAATCTGTTTATTTTGAATAAAAATGTTTCATATTATCTTCAAATATTTTTAATAATTAGTTAACAATAGAAAAAACTATTCAGATGGTTGGATTTTGCAAATTATGTGTTATATTAGTGAAGTTAACCATCAGCCCCGCGCTCCGCCAGTCACTCGCACATTTAAACAACATTCAACAAAATTAACAACTAGTGATGAGTCCGCCCAGTCCTCTGCCCTCTGTCTAAACTTTATCGTTGAGTCGTCAAAGTGGTAAGGGTTGACGTATAGATTAATGCTGTCAACGATTCTAGCAAGAACACATTGCCTTTCCACCATAATTTTTGTTACTTCAAGTGAGAGTTGTCTTAGGGGAAGTGTTTCTTTTTTATAATTTATACATCATATAACAACTCGGGGGCCCCTCCTGCTAGGGAGTTAGGTTAGGTTAAGTACTGACTACATTACATATTCACTCAGGGAAGAAAAAAATCTTGCATAACATAAATTTTGCAGTTTTATTTATGTTGATTTCTCCGGAAAAGCTGAAAAACAAATAAGTTTAAAGTTTACGAACTGTTATCACTAGAAGGAAATGTGCGATTTGCTTGATTTTTTTTTTACACACTTAGTATAATATTAAACAGAAATGGAAATGACAATGCATAGAACCTACTAGAACCTGACCTAACAAACTCATCCTATTATCGTGTGCATTTGTGTTTAATATTATGCTAATAGTGTGTAAAAAAAATATAAACCAAATCGTACTAAGCCAAAGAACCTAGAAAACCCCACTTAACGATTGTCATTAGCAAAAGAACTTAGGAACCCTAATCTAACCCAACCTAGCCTAACCTAGCCTAACCTAACCAACCTAGCCTAACCTAAGCAAAAGAACCTAGAAAACCTACCTAATCTAACCTAACAACCCTAACCACACAATTGTTACTAACGAAATTAATCATAAACAAACAACTTACCTTAATATTTGGCAAGCAAAAGAACCTAGAATACGGTACCTAACTCTTATCACTAAGGACTATCTGACCCTCATTTCTTCCGCTAATCACACCAATCCTAACAAAGCCTAACCCAACCAAACCTAATCTAATCTAACCCATGTAAAATTAGCGTTGCGGCTCTCCAGTGATTTCTAGGATTATAAGTTTGGGAATCAGAAGTGAGTTAGGGTCATTGGGGTCGTCGTTTCACAGTCGATTTTCCAAAAATGTCGTGTGATTTTCTCTGAAAGTATTAATGAGCGAGCAAAATACCATAGAAGAAAAGTGTCTTAGAATTGTCTAAACTACTGATTCAAAAATATATTAAAATTGCTGGATCCCTGAAATGATAATAGTACCCTATTAAAATCAATGACAACTTTTTCCTTTAATTTTATGTACAGTATTTTTTTGATGTACCTGTATACAGGTATCTGTTTATCATCATACACCTGTAGTGAGCAGGGTATGATAGATGTGAGAAATGATCATATGGCAGTCATTTTATGTCTAAGTGCTATTTTTTTTTATTGTGAATAGCCCACCCAGGCACAAGTTCATTGACCCACAATGGGGCTTAACTTCCTAGCTGTCCCCGCCATATTAAACAGAAAGTACTTATTTTGATATCTGGTACCAATGAAAGCAACTTTGTTGAAGCGTCATGGTGTAATTTTACATTTTTTGTGGACATGAGAGTACACTCATACTGAACGGGTCAGTTTAAACAAACAGATGACACACGGTTACTGCAAATTTTCGTTGCTATTTTACGTGAAGGTACTTTTTTTTTCAGGGAATAGCCCACCTGGACACAGGTCATTGACCCACAATGGGACCTAGGGGGCAAAAAAATAAAAGTAAAAGGAAGTTAAAGATAGAAGAGGAAAAGACTGGGTTAACGTGTAGATTAATGCTGCAAGAACACACTGCTTTTCCACTATAATTTTTGTTGTTAATTGCTAGTGACAGTGTTCTCTTTTGGGGAAGTGTTTCTGTTTTATAATTTATACTATAATACTGTTGGTGAGCCATGGGAGGGGGAGTGCGTAGTGTGTAGGTCGTCTGAATTGCATTACCATGCTGTATAATAACTGACCCAATTCTGAAAAAATAGCGTTTCCCCAATAGCGGAATATGTTACTTTAGGTTAAATAAGGATAAGTTAAATACTGACATCATTATATAACCACTCAGGAGGGGGTAAGGTCAGGCTAATGTTTGACCATGATTGAAAAACTTTAGTTTTTTGTTTTTTCCCCAGAAAAAAATATATATTCAATTAAAAAAGCAGCAATATTCATGCAGGAATGTTTTTTTCTGGCGAAATCGCTCGCAGCACTTGAGTAAACGTTTACCAAAGACTATTAATCTACACCAACGAAGATGCCGGAAAACCAGCTTAATATCCATTTGCGACAGAAGTGGTATTCAAAACAGTTGTTCCTATTGACGAGATATAACTAATTTCTGTCACCGAGTTGGGGTTGAAACTGCAATAATACCCAAATGACATACTTTTGATTTTTATCATTTGATAATTAGGTTATATTACTGTACAAGAAATAGACATAGAAAACTCTGCAGTGTATATTCTGATTTGTTAATACTTATTCTTAAAAAATAATATTTAAGTAGAATAATATATACTGCACAATACAGCTCCTCCCCGACTTACAACCTACTCGACTTACGACCACCCGGACATACGACCACCTCAGTCGTACCAAAATTTTGTCAAATTTCATATTTTCGAGTCCCAATGTCAGTGATTGCACTGTGTACTGACAAAAATTTTTTTTGTAATTCACTTTAAAATGGCTGGCAAGCTTAAAAGTGAAAGTTTTGTGGTGCTGAGAAGAAAAAAGGACACCCATTTCAGATTTTCTATGTAAGCATTTTCAACTTGCGACCATTTCGACTTACGACCTGGATTTGAGTCCCTAACCACATTGTAAGTCGGGGAGGAGCTGTATATGTAAATGAATTTGTAAAAAAGATGTCTCTTCCATTTTCATGTGGTGAAGGCTGAAATAATTAGCTCATTTCCGGTTGACAAACTGTTTACTCTAAATTACAAGGCACAGATTGTCACATATTTCTACAATAAAATAAAAATATTACATTGTAAATAGTAAAAAAAAAATGCATCCCCTATCTATCATTATCACTGTGGTAAGCAAGTGATTCCTTCTTATATATGATCCACCATCAGAACACTCAGACTATTTCACTGTCATTAGAACATTCCAAAAAACATCGTCTTTTTTGTTTGATGTCTCATTTAATAGTTCAAGTTGTATACTCGACAGTTAGTCCGCACTTAATCGTCCCACTTAACATTGTTTCGGTACTAAGTCGCTTAACTTGAGAGACCAAAAATTCGTTTGACGTCCCGGTGATTCGATACTTCGTCGCTTTGCGTCGCCACGGACTCTTTTCTACGGCGCATCACCCTCTCTTGTCTGGCCTAGCTAGGCTCTCGGCTCAGCGCAGAATCTCGTGACTCATCACCCTCCTTTCCCGCCCTCCTCCGCTCCCACCTTCCTCCACCGCTCCCGCCATACTTCATCCTCTTCCACCATCCTCCTCCTCTGCTGCACTACCTACCACACACTCACTCTACCACCTCCGCCCATCGGTGAGCACTATTTTCTATGGAAATGGCAATGATTTTCTATACTGTATATGTCATGTGTTTCATGGGGTAAAGGGATGTTCAGGAACGTAACTCCCATATTTTATCTACTGTATTTCTTATGGGGAAAATTGATCCGCTTAACGTTGTTTCGTATAACGTTACGTTTTTAGAAATGTAACCCCGACATTAAGCGAGGACTTACTGTACTGTGTATATATCCTTTTGTAAGGTACTACGATGAATACACATGATAGTTTATCTAATAAATACTACTAAATTTGGTTAAGATTCGGAAAAGGTTGACTACGGAACTTCAAATTTATATAGGGAGATAGAACGAAAAATAAAACTTTTTTTTATGACATTTATGTCACAAATTTAGATTTTTTTGAGTATTTTAGACTTTGATTTCAATCTAGAATTTACATTTTGGAGGGAGACACTTTCCATCTGAATCATGTGACTCGCAATCAGCGTTGTTCTCGGCGTCACGTGATACTCCTGCACATCCTCCAAGTTTTTAATTTTAGTTGGTCATTCACAAAATCACTTATCTTTGCACGGGTGTTGTTTCTTGGCTTGGCAAATCATTCATCGTGTATTTGAAGACAAAGCCACTGCCACTGACATTTTTAAAACTCGTGGTATTCTGCTAACCCATGTGAAGTGTTACAGGATTTCATACTATGCAAAATAGAGAACGATTGTTGAGGGATATTGAGTTGGGTGCTTCGAGCCGGTAATAAAAAGGAACATTACCGACAATGTTTCACTAAATACAACAATCACAAGACCATACAGTCAGCTCTACTATAACGCGATAGTTGTGTTCTTGCAAAACCTCGCGTTCTAGAAATTCGCGCAATAGAAATAACAGGGCTTATGGAGAAAATGGGGTTAGGTGCAGATTACTCGAAATCGAAAAAAATTTAGTAGTTAGCCTAACACAAAGGATAGCACAGTCTAAATAAATGTTACATTCATGTCTAATAATGAAATGAATATAACTTGATGGGGGATAACATCGAACTTCTCTTCAAGTTTCCTTTACGATCATCACCGGGAATGCGATCACCAGAACGCTTCTTGGAGATATTCTTCTTTACCATATTCAGTTAATACCACAAAATTGGAGAAATAGTAAGATAAAATCACGTTACAGCAAACAAGCGTTCGCGTTTTACAAATATTGTTCCTCTATTCATAAATCGCGTTGGAGCCAATTCGCGTTGCCAAAACACGCGTTATAGCAGAACTCACTCTACTCCACCACTTTCTCAGACAAGTAGCATCAATTTATTCTCTAACATCTGTTCATTAAGGTAATTTTTTTACACAGGGTCTCCCTGGCTAGGAGGTTAGGTCAGGTCCTTCCGGTTTCTCTGGTTAGGAGGTTTTTGTGTCTAGTGTAAACTATGGGATGTTTATAGTGAACTCAAATTAATTGCTCTTTTGCAAGAATTCCAGCAATGCAAGTTAAATTCTGCTAAGTCAGTGACATTTTGTAAGTAAAAAACCGAACTACTCCTTTTATATAATCTTGAGTCTCTGACACCTCCGCCCTCCACTGATAATTACGCACTTGGTAATCTCCCCGCATGGCTGTCAACACCTCACCTCCTTTCTCCTCCCAGCCAGATGGCAATAAGGAATTTTGAGGGTGAAGGTGGTTTTAGGTTTAAAGTTTTTTTCTTGCCATACAATGGCACTGACTTGACTTAGCAGAATGTAACTTGCATTGCTGGAATTCTTGCAAGATAGCAAATAATTTAAGTATATAAACATCTCATAGTTTGCACAAGAAATAATTTTTTTAGTCCTATAGCTTAATACAGTACATTTTGAGTACAAAGTGAGTACAAGTACAGTAATATGTTGCTAACAATTATGTCTTTTTCACAGGGAAAAGTCTACAGCATATAACTAACCCCAGTAGTCAGGATATTATGGCATAGAATGTGGCAGAGTATTCAAATAAATTCTTTGTTTAGTTCTGTACATATACAGTATGTGAATTCCCTTTTAGTGAATGTGCATAAAGCAAGGGTCCAGTGAACTGTACAGTAAACTTGTGCCATAACACTAACACTTTGTCATAAAGAGGTCCAGTAAGCCTGGGCTAGAATTATGCTGATGCAAGTTGTATTGGTACCAATATAGTACATTTTATGCATTATTTTGCCTTATTTTTTAACCCCGGCTTCGATGGTTCGGAATTTTTGCTAATTCGGAATTGGTCAGGTCTCAAGCTTCTCGGATTAGTGGGGTCCAACCTGTACATAGTTTCCTTTTCCAAATCTTTACCATAAATTTTTTAAATCAGTATACTGTTAAGTAATATCTCCGTAACCTGGAATCCCTCTTAACCGGAACTATCCGATAGCCGGAATTGAAATTTTCTTTGAAAATCGTTCCCAAAGCTGGAATTTTCTGGAAAGTTCCTGCTTTGGGTAAAATTTTCCGAGGGGCACACTTTCTGGAAAATTTCCAAAAAAATTTCAGGGTATCCAGAAAATTCCAAGGATGGAGGGATTTTTTCCTGGGTTGAAAGATGAAAATCAGCCGCATTTCTTGAAATACTGTATGTACAGAGAAAAAAATTTTGGTACCCAGAAAATTCCTGGGATGGGAGATTTTTTCTTGCTCTGAGAGATAAAATAATGCATTATTCTGGAAGATTCCGAGAAAATTCCGGGGGATGTGGGATTTTTTCGTTTTTTGAGAGTTGTTTCGTTACCCGGAAATTTCTCATTCCTGGAAATGCTCTGCACCAATTGTTCCGGCTAACAGAGATACATGTCCCACTATTATGTAAAACTACACGTACATTGAGGAAAGATTGAAGGACTTGTGTCTCCTCCACCCACTGAAGGCAGTAGCCAGTTATATATGTAGAAAGCTATTCTATTATGTCATACTTAACCAATCACAGTTTTCACACAACAATATCTTTGGTGATCGATAGCAGCCATACCCCGTTGAGCCAATGACAAAATATTTAAGCAATTATGTCATAGCTCAAGGACTGTGAAATCGAGACAGTAACTGGTTCTTCACAACCTTACTTGACGGCCAGTTATTGGCCCATCGTAACCAACATGTTAAACAAATAAATTTTGAATCTGGTCTTGGTTATCTTTAAAATAAGCAACAGAGTCTCCAGTCAGGTATTGTTAGTGCAAAACCTTTTTTTCTTTCTTTTAGCCCATTAGGTTCTTGAAACTATTCTGTATATAAATGATGAGAATCATGTACAGTACAGTAATTGGATTCAAATCCCATATTATAGGTTTGGATACTTTTTCAATTTCTTTGAAATACAATTAGTTTCTAAGTGTACTGTATGTTCCTGTTCTTATTGTTCTTCCACAAGGTGACGACATACAGTACTCAGAGTTAGAGACAAGTCAAGCTCTCCATCTTGAATATAACTACGTAGATATAGCGTCCTGTGCGGGTTCTTCTTTTTCATTTCACTTGTTACCTGTGTTTGTCGAGGATGAAGACCGTGTCCAAGAGTTCATTTGTCAACATGAACTAGTTGACAGGATGTGCAAGTGTTCAAAATGTGGCAGAGAACTGACAATGAAGAAGAAATATGTTGCAGTTTAAGAGCTGATACTGTAAATGTAAAATTACACACAGCTGCTTCAAGAAAGTTACTTACATTGTTCCGCAGTTAGGAAGTGAGGTCGGTTTGGTTGGTTAGGCCAGAATCTGTGCATTGTCGTTTCCATTTTCGTGTTTAGTATCATGCAATTAGTATCTCCACAAATTTTGGTTCAATTCCATAAGGTTTTTTTTTCTACTGTTAACTGTGGTCCACCTTTAACCCTGAAGTCATTAATGACCGATGGGGAAAACTGGTGCCCTTCTTTCCCAACTTCCTCCTAAGTGGTGGGTTGTAAATCAGTAGCAACTGAGAAGGTTGAGGTATGAACTTCCTGTTATCGCCAAAGAAGATGTGAAATGCCTATCGAGATTTAACTCTCGTTCTGATGGAAGGCTTTGTTCTAGTGCTAATACCTGTACTGTACTGTAATTAGTTGAAGTTACTCTCTTGCACATACAGTACAGTATATAATAAAAAAGATTGAATATGGTATTGTTTCTGTAGATTACAAAAAAAATTTGGTCAAGGCTGCATCAGATTAGAGCAAGTTTAATATTGTAAACATTTTGAAACAGTGCCCAATCACTATCATAGATGGACTAAGAGAAATACTCCTACATGCAGATGTAAAAGAGGGAGAGTTGAATATAAAAAAATAATTGGTCAGATTTAACTAAGGCAGCACTTAGCATTTCATATGTTGTATAATGTTGCTTATTATCATAGTTGTGATCTTGCCCATGGTAACTCAACTCTCCCTCTTTCTTTCAGCCGTAACAGCATCAGGAACATATAGCTTGGGATTTCCAGAATAACCCTGAAGCTATACAGCGTGTACTGTACTGTAGATAAGTCTTGGGATGGAGAATAAGTGTCAGTCATCGAGTGATGAGCAAGCTCTTCCGGATTCTACCAACTGTTCTAAGCCTGGAAATTACAAGATTGTGTTGGTTGGTGATGGTGGAACGGGGAAGTCCAGCTATGTTGCCAGATTACAAAGTGGTAAATTTTATCTGGAATATATTGCAACTTTGGGAGTGGAGAAACATAAAATTGCAATCGCCACATCTCATGGTCCATGTACAGTGACCATATGGGACACTGCTGGTCAAGAAAAGTTAGGACCTCTAAGAGATGGCTATTACTCAGGTGCTGATGCAGCAATTATATTCTTTGATGTTACATCTAGAGTGACTTATAAAAATGTTCCAAATTGGCATAAAGATATTCATAGAGTACGACCAGATATCCCCATTGTTCTATGTGCCAATAAAATTGATGTCAAGGAAAGAAAGGTAAAAAGGATCACTTACCATTCTAAACTTAGAATGGGATTCTTTGAAATAAGTGTCAAGGATAGGATCTGCTTAAAGGAACCTTTACAGTATTTGCTGCAGCAACTGACCAAGGAACCAGAGCTTACCCTAAAAGACTCTATAGATGATGATATTTTTGGTGAGGTAAAAGGTTTATGTCTTTAAAAAAAATACCCATTAGAAAGAGTAGGATTTATGCACTTTCATACAGCTGTGGATGTTAGCTATTATTTAAGCAATGTTATTTTAATAGTATTTTCATGCTGTAATTGAAATATTGTAGTGGCAGGTTGAATTGGCAACTTTTTTCTTTCAAACCATAATAAAGTGTACCGGGTATGTAATTTATTTTATGGAAAAATCAAGAAAACTTTTATACTGTTTTTTTATTATGATGGTGTATTTCAATGTACTTTATGATTATTTTCCTGTTGTATGAAATAAAATGTGCATACCTTACATGTACAGTACAGTACACTATAGGAACAAGGGGTACCCAGGTTACGAACGGGTTCCCTTCCTGAGGACGTTCTTAAGTAAAAAATGTACGCAAGTCGAAACACATGCTATGTGCATACCATACAACAGAACAATATTTAAAATCCCACTACAGGTATATTATAGCCTAATTCCTTATATACATCTAAAATCACATAATTTAAGAGAAAGGAAAATAGAATGACAAAATACAGTACCGGTAAATGAAAGTAAAAAATAAGTCATCAGGTAAATAAAATACTAAATTTCAAGTTTAACCTTGTTCGTAGTGGCGGATGTTCGTAAGTTGGGGACCCTGTATATCAAAAGTTCCTGACTTGTGTACAAGTCTTTAGTTATCCTTACATGAACAAACTTCATTGATCTGTGTTTGTTTTGAAGTTTATTTATAATATTACTGTTATGATAGAAGACCGTTATCATTTATCTCATCTACAGTGTATCATTACAATACTCGTACTGTACATGCAAAGTATTACAAACTCTTGAACTGGTAGAACTGTCCAGATAAACAATTTAGAAAAATCAAAATACAACAGTACTGTACAGTACACACACTCCTCGACTTATGACGGGGTTTTGTCCTGACGACCAGGCCGTAAGTTGAAAAGGCAAAAATAATACGTACATAGAAAATCTAAAATGATATACAGTACAGTAAAAGTAATCAACAATGAAAAATGAATAAAGTGCTACTGTGCACTTACTTTAATGTAGTCAGCTGAATGCACACAGGGCCTCAATAATTTTTTGATTAAGCATGTAGACTACATTAATTGGATAAAGCAGAGGAGGAGACAGGACTGGGTGGGTTATCAAGTTCGCTTTCTTCAGACAGGCTAACATACTTGCTTGTTGAAGGTATTGGATCATCTTTAGGGAATGAAGAGGCAGCACTGGTGGGGTGTGAGGAGACAGCAGTGGGGGACTAATTAAAAAATATGTCCAATTTAGACTGCACAGTTTGCCTCTTCTTTTCATTGTAAATCTCCCTGTAGCAAGCACGTGTATCTTGGATCAGTCTGTCAACTTTTACAAAATGCTCAACATTTTGATCCATTTCTTCAAACATTTGCATAACCTTATTAATAGTAGCAAATGCCTCTGCCATTTGTTTCACTGAAAACTTTTTGGGGGGGGGGTGCAGGTTGTTTTACATTTTGACTCTTCTTCCTCTGCAATTTTCTGTGCATCCAGTTCAATAAGATCCTTGTTACTTAGCTCTTTTGCTACTTTCCACCAACTGCTCAACATCTTCATTATCAATTTCTAACTCCAGCTGTTTACCCAACTCTACTATCTTGTTACTAATCTCAGAAATTGCTTCATCATCATTAAATCCTTTGAAACTGTTCGCATATCGTTTCAGGACCTTCTTCCATATTCCATTCATGCACTGACCTGTAACCTTATCCTATGCTGCAGCTATGTTGTAGTCCTTCCAAAACTCTCTGTGTTTTCTCACCTTCAGTAGCAGCAATAGCGTGAGTGAAGGTCGTACGTAAATAATAGGCTTTAAAGGCAGCAATAGCACCTTGATTCATGGGTTGGATAATAGAGGTAGTGTTAGGTGGAAGGTAGTCTACCTTAACATCAGGGTGCAAGTCGTCCAGGTGTGGTGGGGTGTCCTGAAGCATTATCTAAAATTAATAAAATCTTGAATGCAACCCCTTGTTGCAGACAATACTCCTTGGCTTGTGGAATGAAACAACTTGGAAACCAATCCTCAAACAGTGCTAGGGTCATCCATGCTTTCTTATTACTGCGATAAAACACTGGCAGTGTGTGCTTGTTGACATTTTTAAAAGCCCTTGGGTTCTCTGAATAATATATCATGAAGGGTTTTACCTTGAAACCAGCTACATTCCTCCCCAACAGAGGTGTGATTCGGTCCTTGAATAAGTCGGTTTCACCCACATTAAATACTTGCTCAGGCAAATAATTTCCCTCCACGATGACATGATCTAGTTCCTCCTTAAAAGCTTCGGCAGCACCCACATCAGCACTTGCTGCCTCTCCACTTACTTTTGCACTGTGCAAATTGTAACGTTTCTTAAACCTTTGGAACCACCCATGACTTGCTGTGAAGTTTTGGTCACACTCATCTCCTGCCTGCTCTTTCAGGCTTTAGAAAAGGCTTCTTGCCTTAACCTGTATACTGTAGTTAGAAGGCTTAAGGGTACACGCTTTTGCAACTGATCTTCCGTCCACATCACAAGTAATTTCTCCATCTCATGAAGAGGACCTTGTCTTTTTTTTTTATTATTGTTCCCTTTATCCTGTCACTACTTCATGAATTCGTTCATTGTCCTTCAAAATTGTTGATATCGTCGAGTGAGGGAAGCCTAGGTCGCTTGAAATGGTTGCTATCGTTTTTCCATTTTCATGTTGCATTATTATTTTCATTTTCATCTCAAAAGTAATTGACTTTTTCTTCTCGGCACCACGAGAACTCTCACTTTTACGTTTGCCAGCCATTTTAAAGGGACTTACAAACGAAAATTTTGTCAGTACACAGCGCGATCACTAACAACAACAACGACGGGCAAACACCAACTGAGCGGGCTATGGAGTGGATGCTGTACACCACGAGGCAGCCCAGCCCACACTGTCGTTCGGCGTCACATTACGACTAAATGTCGGGACTCGAAAATACGTAATGTGAAAAATATTTTATACAACCATGGCCGTCGTAAGTCGAATATGTCGTGAGAGGAGAGACTGTTCTAGTAAGTGGCACTTCTCACCCATTAGATCCTGTTTTATGTGATTTCATGAACAAATAGTTGGCACAAAGCCTACCGGTAGTGGAGATACTGTATTGGGTCACCGAGTTGAAAGGATTACCTGTGGTTCATAAGCTCTTATCACTTGGAAACCCTCCAGCCAGGAATGAAAGTTCTTATTCTTACCAAATCTATTACAGGTATCAGATTTTCAACAGACAGCATACCTTGCTATGATGGATTGATTAAGATCCACAAACTTCTATTTACTGACAATAAGTTGTAAGAATACACACGGTTTTATTGCTTGTTTTCTTTAGTCTGAAATCTTTCCCTAATTTTTTTTATCACAATTACCAGAGTTTTAATGGTTTAAGGTGAGTATTGCTCAGTGGCTTTTTTGGGGGGGTGGGAAGCTCGTGGTGTAAGTGTTTTTCATAAGGCGAGTGAATCCCTAACAGTAGTCAGAGTGACCTATGGTACCATTATACAGTACTGTATTGTATATTTCAATACTACCTGTACAGTAGTGATCAACCGTACGGTTCTGCATTCCCATTCCCAATTGGCTCAGCTGAGTCAGGCTTTTAAGTTACCCATAATTTGAAGTTTTATGGCAATAAAGGCACTGCCTACCTCCTGAATAAAATTGTCATTCTTTGTTCAAGCCAGATGGCTTGGTATTTGTAAGTTTGGATCGGTTAGAGGTTATATTTTCCTCATTTATAGTAGCCAAATGATATTTCACTTTTTTTTTATATAATGTTGAGTATTTTTGTCTTGGGACACAAAATATGAAAAATATTTTTTTAAGAATTTTGGCCATATGGGTTACAAAAACACTCACAACTATTTAGTAATCTGTTGGCTTTGTGGGGCACATTTCCTACAGAGATTGAGGAAATTTTTATTCTATGACGTACTATCCTGATGACCCCTGGTAAGAAAAAGTTGTGATATTTTAACAAGTGGATCATTCCACTTAATCTCATGGGCCTTTCATGTTGAATCTCAAAATTCATTAATTTTAACTGTACTGTACTCGCCTTGACATTGGAACCAAACAGAGTGTTAGTATGGCCGTTGCATGAAGATAGTATGCAGTTGTGTACTGTAGTTTAAAAATATTATAGGAAAGACTTGTTCAGATTTGATCTTGGCAGATAATACTTTAGGTCTTAAATGGTTAATTACATAATGGATTAACAGTTTCATGAGTGATTTTGATAATGAGAGATACAGTAAAATTATTATGGATGACTACTTTCCTTTTACATAAAGGATGATGTAGGTTATGTATCTAAGCTACTGTGCCGAGTAGCAACCTTGTATATAAGCTACTGTGCCGAGTAGCACCTATGTATATAATTACGTGGCAACACTGCATGTGTTATGTGGCAACATTGCCCCGAGGCTGCCATATGGCAAGGCAGTCTCAGTCTGACTGTGTGAGCCGTGCATGGCACACGCTAGTCATCACTTGTAATTCTCTTATCCATAAATAAATGGACTTCAGTGTTACCCGGTGTTTCCCTACCCATCACTGCATTCTTCAGGGAACACTTGGAACCTTCATGGCGCAGTGACTAGGGTCTGTGGACTTACAAGTGTGTGAACAATGGACAGTTAGCCGGCGATGTGCGACTGCCGGCGATGTGATGTGCGCGTCGACTCTTCATGTGTTGTGTGTGTTGTGTTGTGTTTCGCCGCGATGTGCAGTGTTGGACCGTCACAGTGCTTTTTAGTGACGGTGGCAGTGTTAGTGTCAGTGTATTAGTGTGTCTAGAGCTGAGAGTTGAGCATTGGCCTGTTTTTTTTGTGGTACCCACGGAGCACACAGGCGTACACCCTTCTCGTGTGACATCCGGGGAGGCACTAACGTTCTCACCCCCACGGCGGCTCTAGCCACCGGCAGTAAGGCCACCAAGGAGTGCATCTGCTGTCTCAGACACACACACGCACGCACTCACTCACGGACAGAACAGTGGACTCTATGCGTTATTTCTGCGCTGTTTATGTCATATATATGTGGTTCGAGCTGTTGAGGCTCCACTTTATATACTAAACAGTGCAGTCCATGCACACACTAAGATGGGCGGTAAGAAGGGACAACGTCAAGATGGGAGACACGGCTCCCCACCACCTCCCCCTCCACCGGGCGCAGACTCTCATTCTCCACCTCCAGTGACGGACATTGCCACAATTCTGAGGTGGATGGACGACCGGGACGAGCGACGTAGAGAGAGATGGAATTTCAGAGGGAGGAGATACGAAGAGAGGAGGAAAAGGCGCGCTTTGATGCAATATTGGCGACCCTGGCGCTAACCCACCCTC